GTTACATTTCCGCAAAAGTGCCAAAAAAAAGAAAAAGAAAAGAAAACCAAGCAACAACAACCAAAAATTATATTCTCTTGTCCGATCGTAAATTTGAAGTTTTTCATAAAAATGTCATAACAGTAATTTCAGTGACAATGGCTGAATACAGAATACAGAATACAGTAATAACACGATAACAACTACAAAACAAAATGAAAACAGAGTTTGTCTGTGTCGGCGATTCTCATCTCTCGAATTTATGGATTTTTTCAGATATTCGCCTAAGGGTAAAAACTGCACACGCACACACTCTCAAAAATGAGTTCGAGGATAAACGAGAGAGAGAGCACAAGAGAAGGATAGCTACATACGATGATAGAGACAGAGAGACAGAGAGAGAGAGAGAGAGAGAGTCTTAGAGTCATTCATTCATTTGTAGTGTCTAAAATTTTAACTAATTTATATTAAAATACCAGCCACAACATAAGTTTGATTTGTGTACGTGTAAATAACGCCCTCCCTTTCCCCCTCTCTATCTCTCTAAAAGCACTAAAACTTCCGTCTACAAAGTCTGGCTAAATGCCTCAGACACTTTTTGGCGCGCTTTTGTCGCATGTGGCGCACCGCACACAAGAGGCTAGCAAATAATTGTAGGTATAAACAACCTGAATAATACAAAATAATTTAAGCAACAATAACATTTTGCCAAACAAAGCATAAAACACTTAAGAAGGCGTTTCACTCGTTCTCTCTCACTCTCCCTCCCGCACACTCTCCAGGGTTGAGCTTAAACACTTGCACTCCAAGCGATAGTTTTGCTCATCATTTGTTGTTGTTGTGGCAATTGCTATTGCTCTGAGTGTGTGTGTGTGTGTGTGTGTGTGTGTGTGTGTGTGTGTGTGTGTGTATGTGTGTGGCTGATGTGGGCGCTCAGCGCATACGCATTCGCATTCTCACGTTATAAACATCAAAATTAAGCATCCATTGGCTGCGCACTAAAAAACCAGAAATCGTATAAGAAAATTCCCCACGAAACAACTCACAAATACCACTCAAACTCGCTCTTTCACTCAATCGGCTACCTCCGCTCCGACTCAAACCGAACGAACGGCCATCATGCCTCAGCGCACACACACACACACATACACACGCACATACACACGCACATCACTTACTTGCACACATACAGTGAGCGTATAAGCGACAAAGAAGAGCAAATGCTGCTGCTGCTGCTGCTGCCTCTGCCGCTGCCGCTGCCGTCGCTATTGCTGTTGCTGTTGCTATTGCCGTTTATTCTGATTCGTCGAGAGCGAGGGAGACAAACAGATATGAAGTCTGTATTTCTTATTGCCAGCGCGCTGTGCCGTTGGCGTCGGCAGAGACATGAGACTATTGACTGCATATTTGCGTGTAAATGCGCGCCTGCATAGGTGTGCGTGTGTGTGTGTGCTTGTGTTTGAGTGTGTGCGAGTCTAAGCGCAGCGCTTGAAATGAATTGCTGCTGACTGGGCGACGGCGACACTGCCTCTGCGTGGCCAAAGCTGCGGCCTCAGCCTCGCATGGCTTTTGTATTGCGCCATAAACGTTTCGCTGCTCGTAACGCCACAACGGCCGACGCGGACACAGCGCCAGCAGCAAAGACCCGCACCCACTTGTGCCCGTAACCATACCAGTCGCCCGTCTACTCGTACTCGGCTACTCGCCTACCCGTGCCCGGCAACGAAACCGAGACAGCGATCCAACAACACGGACGCAGCAAAGCCCCAGTCAAACGTCGACAGCCACAGCCGCAGCCAAGCAGCCAAGCAGCCAGGCAGACAGACAAACTCAAACCCAAGTCTCCACTATCGCCGCAGTCGCCAACTGCTGCGCTGCTCGCGCCTCTGCCAGCGCTGGCAGCAAAAATTACCAATTACACGAAATTTTTATACTCTTTTAAAAATTTCGTTTTATTATAATATTTATTATCGTGGCGCGCAGTAGTGTCTGCGGAACAGCGCTCGCAGCTCAACTCAACTCAGCTCAGCTCCGCTTGACTTGGCCGATCTCCGGTACGATCCGATCCGATCTGTTCCGATTCGATTCGATTCGCCCCGCGCTTACATTCGCTTCGCAATCGCTCTGTTTATTATTTTGTGGCATTCTTATTGTGTTGAACTGTTGCCTCTTATTACGGGCACTCGAGTGCGGTTTACAGTGAGCACGAAGCGCGCGTAAAACTCACGGCAGCAGCCCAGACCAGGAATCATAAGTATATTTGCACACACGCACTCTCATTAAATCCAATCACACAGAAATCAATCGAGAAAACTTCGTACATGAAAATACAACAAACACACTGTCACAACAATGAGTGCGCATAAATATTAAAAAGTCGTAAAGTTCTCAACCTACCTGTGAGTCGGAAAAGTGTTTTATGCCATTTTAAACAAAGCAATTAAAATCCGATTCCCCTTCAACTATCCATCGACTCCGGCTTGCCACACGCACTCGAAAGGTCGTAAATCCAGAAAGAAAACGCGTCGGGACTTTCTACCCACGCTCCGAAAACTGTGTCCGTGCCCGTGCCTGTGACTGTGACTGTGACTGTGACTGTGACTGTGACTGTGACTGTGACTGTGAATCATCGCAAGAAAAATCCAAAAGCCATAAAAATATAACGCCCCAGTTGATCCAATCCCCCGAATATCCCGACCAAGACACCAGCCAAGTGCCAAGTGCCAAGTGCCGTCGCAGCCATTAAAAATCGCGCGCCTATAAATCAAGCGACGGCAGACCGCGCCTCGAGCATTTTCCGTGTAATTGATGGCCGCAGTTTAATTACTTTTACAACAAATAAACGTCGCACACACACATACACGCAAACACACACACTCACACATGCACACATTGGAAGACCTGCCAATACCAAATTTAACAAATTTCGTTGCGAATTCGCTTTGCAGCATTTTCAATTGAAGCGCGTTGCACACTGATTGCTCGCCAAACTGTTTGCTAAACAGATAACAGATAACAGATAATAAAATAAAGCAGATAAAACAGAAAGCACGCAGTACTGTTAGTCAAATCAAAGCAAGAGAGAGCCGCTCAAACAAAAGGTAAAAAATCGTTTTCACCATTTTCTCCCCTCTAACCGAAACGAACCAGAAAAACTAATATTGGAGCAAATGACAACGCTGACTCCTGGCACACTATTTACTTCAATATTTAGTCTAACTATCCCTACTAACTTCTTACTAATGTTGCACCAGTTTTAGAACTAACCTCTCGGCTTCGGATTTGTCATCACCGCTCAGCCAATCGAAGAGGGAAAATAAATTTTTTTTTTCATGTGAATGTTTTTGCTTCACTTTTCTTTCTTCTTTGTTTTTCTTTGAGAAAAATGCCACCGAATTTTCGTTTGTCTTTTATGTTGAATTCGTCAATATATTCTCAAGAGCTTTTTGTGTTATGATTTACGTACTTGATATATACATATATATGCCTTAGTTTTCCCATAATTTAAATTGATTTCAATTAAATTAATTATTTATTAAAACAGATGAAAAGCTATTGGATCATTTGCGAAATTGTTTTACCTTAAATCTCTTTTCTTTTAATGGGGAATCCCTTTACACTGTACTTGAAAAGGTTATCAGACTTCTGGGATCTATATATTATCGGTTCCGATCTCTTCTCCACAGCGAGAATAGAATTTAAATTGTCTGTTTATGCTTCAAAGTGTAATACAAAGTTAGATATTCCTATTCACGCGGTAGCTCGCAAAAAGTTATATTGGACGAATACCATCTGTAGGCTGAATTCGAACAAAATTTGTTAAAGAACACACAAAGAACAAACACATGCAATAAGACAAAGAGAGTAAGAAGAGAAGAACAATAAGCTTTCATCCATTGATTCAGATCGCAAGCTAGTACTAAACCAATAACAACTCGATCGACCCGAGGCGATTCGGCAAGCTTGACCAATTTGACAAGTTCTCGAGCTGAGCAAAAGATATGTGCAATGTCAAAATTTGTTTTCGATAGTATGCTGCCAAAGTACCCACAGTTTCAGCCATTTATCAGTTCGCACTTAACTACAGCATCCACAAATTCGTCATCAGCAGCAGTTGCCGCCGCCCTCGCCGCAGCCGCCGCGTCCGCATCGAACGTCTCCTCACCTGGCATCCACCCGGGCAGCGCCAGCAGCAGCCATTTGCAGTCGTCCTCGCTTTCGCCCAGCTCCAGTGGACTGCAGCTCGCCAGCCAGCTAGGCCAGCAGCACTTGAGCCAGTCCTCCAACTCGCCGGTCTCCTCGTCCTCACCCTCGTCGACTGCGCAGCAGCAACAGCACCAGCAACAACAGCAGCAGCAACAGCAGTCGCAGTACTCGTCTCTGTCGGCCGCTCTTCAGCTCCAGCAGCAGCAGCACATCAACAAGTTAGCCGCCGCTGCAGCTGCGGTCAGCTCCCAGGGATCCGTCTCTAGTCTCGGCGGCCACCAGTCGCTGAGCCACGCCCACCAGCAGCTGCTGCTGACTCCCCCCTCGGCGGGGAACTCCCAGACCGGCGACAGCAGCTCCTCGCCGTCTCCTGCGGCCGGCTCCTCCTTTGCCATACCCACTAGCAAGATGTACCCATACGTCTCCAACCACCCGACCAGCCACGGCGGCCTCTCCGGCATGCCGGGATTCTCTGGACTCGAAGATAAATCATGCAGGTGAGCTCAATGTAAACTCAAACCTAACGGGAATTTCTCTGTAAAGCCATTCCTACACACACACACACACACACACACCGAATATTCTATTCATGGATATTCATATATATACTACAATCTGTATATATGTAAGTAAATAGTAGTATTTTTCAAGTATTAAGTGTCTATATATTTCAGTATATTAGTATCTCAAATTAATTCGTATTTGGCTGACATTGATATGTGATACATACTACTACATAAGTGTGTCGACACTGATATCTGATATATTTTGATGATATTCGTGTTTAATAGACTTTATGCGCTAAAATGACATCTAATCATCTCTATGCTTTGAGTTAATTTTCTTAATGGGAATTAGCCATAGTTTTACAATACATACATAGATGATATACAGATTATATATAATGACAAACATTACAGTTAGAATCATGGCGGGTTTTTCTGTTTAAGATAATTCACATCTTTTGAAAATAGAGTTAGTATAAAATCGACATAATTATTGATCGATTGCTTTTCTATATAGACATTCCTACCGATTCCGATATAAACACAATACTCGATCAGTTGAAGCTTCTGAACTAGAATATGTTCGATAACTAACAGCTGCAGACAAATATGTATGTATGCAGTATGTTTTATTTTTATGATATATTTATTATCAATTGGTAATCCATGCCATTAACCTTTGCTACCTGCACAGCACAACAAATGCGCAACAGTTATATTTCAAGGCAATTTAAATAAAATAACAGGCTTTCTACTTTTATATTCATTGGAGTAAATTAACATCGCATTCGAAATGTGAAGACATAATATTAGAAAGTGCAAATTTATTTACCATGCTAGGTTTTTCAATCAGACACTATTCGAATCACGACAATTCCAAATTCGAAATTACATTCCTAATTGAAGTCAATCATCTTCAATGTTATTTGTGGATTCCCGTTCGTAATCTCCTGTCCGTGGTCACTTGTCCGGGAACCGGGAACAAAGCATTCTGGTCTGTCAATTGAGATCCCATCACACATCTGCCGAGGCATCATTATGAGGTGTCAGGTCGTTAGGCGTAAAAGCCTTCGGCTTGACCCAGAAGCCAGACAATAATGCCCATTGGCCAACCGCAAATCCATTTGAAATACGCTCTAATTATCGACAAGTCCATTGGCTATTCATAGGACGTCTATTCAGGGCTTTTGTGTGCGAGTGACCACTGGGAAAATTAGAACGGCGCTGCGGTGCTGTGGTGCTGTGGTGCTGCCACAGTGCCTGCTAGCAATTTGTCGCTAGCCACAAGATTCGCACGCACATTGACCTTCCAGCACGGCCATTTGCATATTTGCTTGCTAGCAGGAGTCGGTTCGACGCCGCGGGTGTAACGTTTAGGAATTAGTGCAAAATGAGATGAAATCACAGTTGACAGTTGGTAGGCGGAACACGGAACTACTGTATATGTTTGTGTATGTGTGTGTGTGTGTGTCTGGCATTAGTGGACATTAGCATCGGGCTAGGTGAGTTTTACGGGCGAGATGAGGTTTCCCACTCCGGGCTACACGTTCACACGCATATGCTAATCGTCTATCGTCTCTTTTTCCTCTTCTTCTTGTGCTCTTCCAGCAGGTACACAGACACCGTGATGAACAGCTACCAATCAATGAGCGTGCCCGCCTCGGCCTCCGCCAGCTTCGCACAGTTCTACCAGCACGCGGCGGCAGCCTCGGCGGTGTCCGCAGCCAGCGCAGGAGCCATCGGCGTCGACTCGCTGGGCAACGCTTGCACACAGCCCTCGTCCGGCGTTGTACCTGGAGCCGGTGGCGCTGGCCAGAGCATAGCGGATCTGCCACGCTATCCCTGGATGACGCTCACAGGTGAGTCACTGATAGAAAGAATTCTAAATAATGAGAGAGAGAGTGGAAAGAATAAATAAAATAGTGAAAAAATTCATAAAGTGAGAAGGAGAGAAAAGGGAGGATGGCGAGAAAAATACATCTAAAGAGATAAGAGAGAGGCAAGGAAAGTGAACAAAAAAAGGAGAAAAAGAAAAAGATATGGACGAAATTGTGGAAAACAAATTTATAATAAGAAGAGAAATGTGAGCAACAACGAAAAAAAAAATAAATCTAAGTAGGAAGAGAGAGAGAAAAAGATAAAAGGGGACCCGAAAGAAAGACATCTTGCGAGAGAAAGAGAGAGAGAG